TTTAGCAAAGCACTCTGGCCTGAAAGTTCATTTTTATCACAGCTTTGGTTGGCGCGTTCTGAAGGGAGCGGGGAGGAAAGTTTGCACCGAGCCGTAAACACACGAAAGTCTGTGAGAAAAGCAAGAATTAACAGCAGCATCTACGTATTTATAAACGTAAATCTAGGGATGACGAGGCGCTTCAAAATGCAGGAGGCGTTTCAGTCCCACTGCGAGATCAGGAGCATCGCTGGATGCTTTGCACGCCGACTGCTACAGCTGGAAAAGCGTATAGTTAAATAAATAATAAATAAATAAATGAGAGGGAAAACACAACACATGAACCCAAACCCCACATGGAAATTGCTCGGTAAGCTACCAAACAGCAACGCAGGTATTTGTCATCCAAGGAACAGGGCGATTTGTCTTCAGTGTCTCATTAGTCAACAGAGGTTAACTAGCCAGTGCTCAAAACCAACCCATTCTCCTTTAAACGTGTCTGAGCAGAATTGTGTCCGTTCGGGAACTGTATTTGGATTATTTCTAAAGCACAGGCGGGACGGCCTCTGGGATGGCAGGAGCTGGGGGTGCCCATCCCTGAGCGCATCCCCCCGTTCGCTGCGAGAAGCTTCACCGGAAAATTAAAAATTAAAAAACAACAACAACAACAAAACACAAGCAACGACCCAAACACCACGGGATTTCGGTCCGGGATGAAAGCAGCGCGTTCTCGTTTGAGTGGCACGGTGAGGGAAGCGCCTGGGTAAAGGGAAGGGCTCGGCATTGTCGGGGCTCCCGCCGTGACCCCGCAGCGCCCGAGCCGGGCACGGAGCGGGGCCGCAGCCCTGCCCCAGCCGCGCTCCTCACCACACACAACCGACCCAACGCGTGGATGTCACACACGGCGACACCGCTCCCGCAGCAAAAATGGGCGCTTTGGGGAGAGACTTCCCGGATTATTTACGGTTTTTTACTCCGTCAACCAAATGTTCGAGATAAGACCTCCTAAACCCGACCCAGCTCAAAAATAACAGTGACCTGAGCAAGACGGGGCAGTGCAAGAATGAACGACATTTTTTTTTTCTTTTCCCGCAGCAAGTACATTTTTCAAACATCAACAACGTGGAATAAAAGATATTAATGATAATTATAATAATAATAATAATAATAACAAGAACAGGGGATTCGAGCAGAGGAGCAAGGAGTCGCCCAAACCGCAGCAGTTAGAATACAAATACTATTTACCTTGTGATTTTTCCTGCCCGGGATTGGCTTTATTGTCCCTCCCTGGACCAGCCCAGCCGCAGCCACGCTCCCTCCGTGCCGGGCTCTGCTGCCGGGCTGGTGCTGGGAGAGATTTGGGGGGGCCGCATTCATTCGTACATTAGGACTAGTTTAATTTGCAATCTGTCAGTCCATCTCCTGGCTGTGGCTCGGAGATGGCTGTGTGGCTCTCTCCCTCCTCTCTCTCCCTGCACAGCATTTACTCACGTTCAAGAGCAGCCAACAGAGACCAAAAAAAAAAAAAAAAAAAAAAAAAAAAAAGAACTAATTGAGCTTGTGTCGGTATTGGCTAATTTCTGCTAATACTCTGTAAATTCCTTTTTGCTTCCTAAGCTTCCCCCACGCTGGTTAGGTGTTCCCAAAGCCTCTCCGGAGCTCCAGGAGCCGCTGGGCTTCAACAGGAGCCCCAGCGCCTGGATGTACACAATGCAAACCTTAACTCCTGGCTCCAGAAACGGTTAAATTGCCCTTTCCCAGCCCCCACCCCCGTTATGATTGACTCTGTTTTTAAATTTGCACTTGTTCCCACCAAGCGCAATCTAACTCGTCCTGTCTCTAAAGTGAACTTGTGTTGAAGGTGAAGTTTTCAATATAGAGGTCACGACATCGAGGCACAGCTTACCGCTCCGAGCTTCATGCTGTATTAAACACAATCAAAACGAACCCCTTTTAGACCTTTTTTTTTTTTTTTTTCCCCTCTCTCTCTCCTTCCCCTCCCGCGGATGAACAATGAGAGGAGCGGTGGTGCGGTGGGGGGAAAAAAAATAAAAATCGGTTAAATATAATAAAATCAGCTCTGTCACAACGGCGTTGGTGGGTGCAGGTCCCAACCTCCAGCGCGGGGAGAGCCCGAAGGAGCGCAGCCCCAGCGGAGCTATGGAGGGGAACGGAGAGGGGACAGAGGGGACAGAGGGGACAGCGAGAGCTGCCCCACGCGGGTGACACCGCCGCCAGCACCGAGGCACGGCCACGGTGACCCCGGAGAGCCCCGGTGCCGCCGCTGCCGGGGGGACCCGACACAATCGCAGCTCCCGCACTTCAAAGCGGGGCGTTCTCTATGGCGACTTCTCGCTGCCCCAGGACGGTGGCTGCCTCCAGCTATTGTGAGAGCTTTTTCACGCCAAAGATTTAGCAGAAAAAATAGATATTAAAGCGAGTTATTTGCTGAGGAAACGCGGGTCCCTCCGGGGCGGGGGCACCCAGAGCCAAAGGGCTCCAGCGCACAGTCCGAACCCAAAAACTTTTTTTTTACAATTTTTTTAATAATAAAAAAAAACTTTATTGGGTTTCGGTCTATGAAAAATAAGTTACAAATTCTTGCAACAGTAGCTTTGCATGTACTTATTTTTCTCCCATGTCCAGACGGGGTCGGCTATTGAATAAGGCTCTTTTATTCTGCATGGGGCAGGGGATTTGTGGCCATGGTCCCCCTTTTATTCCTCTCTCTATGGAAACCCAGATCATGGGGAGAAAAATGCGAGGCTGAATAAAGAAAAGCAGCAGAAAGGACCGCTTGAGAGCGGCATCTGTTACACTTGGGAAGTTAGACTGACAGGAAAGAGCTAAAGAAACCCTCTCCAGCAGATTAGTTAGAACAGCAAGAAGATTTAACTATATGCAGATAAAAACACTATAAAATCCACCATACTCTGCTATAGGCGAGGTGAGAGCCGCCTCGGCAGGAGCAGAGCCGGGTTCTGCCTTAGCTACATTTGCAGCAAAGATTAAAATGGGACGTTCGGGGTTTTATTTCCCTGCCAGAGACTCTGCCTTAATTAAACGGCGGATCTGAACATCTATTTTCACGGGCAATGGGATTTGAAAAATTGTTTCGGAAGTTAAAGTGCAAATTAATTTTAAATAATTTAGTTACGTTTTTATACAGTGCGGATTTGATGGTGGGGGGGGGGGATGGTGAGGTTTTCTTTCCTTTTTTTTTTTTCCCCCGCGGGCTGCGGTGATGTTTATTTCGAGGAGCTTGTGAAGGCGGAGAGTGGGAAAAAAAAAAAAAAAAAAAAAAAAAAAGAAAGAAGAGTGGGGGGCACCGAAAAAAAAAAAAAAAAAAAAAAAGGAAAGGGGAAAAAATAAAAAGGCTAAAAAAACCAAGGAGGAAGAAGAAGCTGGTGCTGTAACTCCTTCCCTGCCCTCCCTCCCCGCGCTCGGGCGGGCTCGGCCGCGGAGCTGCGCGCCCCGCACCGCCCGCACCGGGATCGCACCGGGACCGCGGCTGCGGCGGGGACAGCCCCGGCTCCGGCCCGCCCGCCGACCCCCCCGCCCGCAAACTTCACTCTTTTATTTACTTTTCCTCATTTCTGATTTATTTCCCGAGCCGCCCCCCCCCGGCCGCACCCCCGCGGGCGCGCAGCGCAGCGCTGGCCCGGCGGGGACCCGCGGAGTCGCCGATATATCGCGATTTGCCCCGGCCCGCTGCGCTCCTCAGCACCCAGCCCTGCCTGTACCCCTCGTACACGCTGCCCCGGCGAGAAATTATTGTGATTATTATTATTATAATGAGGAAAGCGATGGGACCCGGCTCGGAAGGAACCAGAGGAGCGCTCACCTTATTTAGATCTATTTTCTCATTTTCTTGAATTTTCTTCAGATCTGTCTTCTCAGAGAAACTAATGCCTTAATGACTTTCTGGTAGCTGCAAGCCTTCTTTTATTTCTGCTAAATATATGAAAATGTATGCAAATTTAAATCAAGCTTAACCTAGGAGCTCTTGCAATATATTTAATGGAATTTCAAACCAATAAGGGGACTCTGATGCAGTCTTCTGGAAGTGCAAATATAATTACGCAGCTCGGTTACCTCCAAAACGATGCAGGGAAAGGTCATTTTGGAACTCGCCGGCGGGTCGGGGGTCCCGGGGCTGCGCGGGTGCGGAGCTCTGCCCGGCCCGGGGCTCCGCGCTCCCCCCGCTCCTCCCGCGGGGGGGTCCCGGGCACCGCACGCGATTTTTCCCCCCCGTTCTTTTCCCTTTTCTCACTTTTTTTCCTCCACTTTTTCTCCTTTTCTCCCCGTTTTGCCCCGCAGCCCGCCCATCAGGCGCGCAGCGGCGGCGCACCGCGCCCGCGCTGCTAACTTTGAGGGGCATCCACCGGGATTTACCGGCGGCGAGGCCGGGAAGCTCCTTCTTTTGGGGCTGATTTTTATTATTTGGGGCTTTTCTCCGTTTTTTTTTTTAATTTTCCTGCCGACCGAGCGCGGCGGTGCCGCACGGCCCGGGGCAGGCGGGGACGCGCGGCTCGGGGCAGCAGCGCCGGGGGAGGAGCGGAGCGGAGCGGGCGCTGCGTACCCGGAGCGCGCCCGGACCGGCGGGCGGGGGCAGCGCCGGGGTGGTCCCGCGGGGCTGCCGCCGGGGCGCCGCCGTTTAACCTCTGCCCGCCGCTAATCGCTCCCCATTTAAGCCGTGCCCCCCGCGCCCCCCCGTTCCCAGACGCTCCCCATTTAAGCCGAGCCCCCCCTCAGCCCCGCCGCTCCCCGCCCGGCGCGGAAGGAGTTAAGCGGCGGGGCCGCCTCGCGCCCGGCCCCCGGTGCCGGCGGAGTGATTCACTTCCTGCCTCGCGCCCGCGCGGCCCCGAGGCCCCGCCCCGCCGCGGCTCGCCCCGCCCCCGCGCCGTGCCCATTGGTCGGCCCGGCCGGCGGCGCGCCCCCATTGGCCGGCGCGGGTGCCAGTCGCGGCGCGGCCGCCGCCGGGCCGCCGTGCCGGTGGATGTCAAAGGCTGGCGCGGCGGCGGCGGCACAGTATAACTCGTGGGGCTGCCGCGGCCATGGCCACAGCCGCCTCCAACCCCTACGGCCTGCTGGGCGCCGGCGCGCTCGCCCACGCCGAGGGCGCGGGCATGCAGCAGGGCAGCCCGTTCCGCAGCCCGCAGAAGCTGCTGCAGAGCGAGTACCTGCAGGGCGTCCCCGGCAATGGGCACCCGCTGGGGCATCACTGGGTGACCAGCCTGAGCGACGGCGCGCCCTGGCCCGCGGCGCTGGCGGGCGGCCCGCTGGAGCAGCCCGACGTGAAGCCGGGCCGCGAGGACCTGCAGCTGGGCGCCATCATCCACCACCGCTCGCCCCACGTCTCCCACCACTCGCCCCACGCCAACCACCCCAGCGCCTGGGGCGCCAGCCCGGCGCACAGCGCCTCGCTGGCCGCCCCTCCCGCCGCCGCCGCCGCCGCCGGGCAGCCCCTGAGCGTGTACTCGCAGGGCGGGTTCGCGGTGGGCGGCATGCTGGAGCACGGCGGGCTCACCCCGCCGCCCGCCGCCGCCGCCGGCCAGGGCTTGCACCCCGGGCTGCGCGGCGAGGCCGGCGGCGAGCACGGCGAGCTGGGCGGCCACCACTGCCAGGACCACTCGGACGAGGAGACGCCGACCTCGGACGAGCTGGAGCAGTTCGCCAAGCAGTTCAAGCAGCGCCGCATCAAGCTGGGCTTCACCCAGGCCGACGTGGGGCTGGCGCTGGGCACCCTGTACGGCAACGTCTTCTCGCAGACCACCATCTGCCGCTTCGAGGCCCTGCAGCTGAGCTTCAAGAACATGTGCAAGCTGAAGCCGCTGCTGAACAAGTGGCTGGAGGAGGCCGACTCCTCCACCGGCAGCCCCACGAGCATCGACAAGATCGCGGCGCAGGGGAGGAAGAGGAAGAAGCGGACCTCCATCGAGGTGAGTGTCAAGGGCGTGCTGGAGACGCACTTCCTCAAGTGCCCCAAGCCGGCCGCCCAGGAGATCTCCTCGCTGGCGGACAGCCTGCAGCTGGAGAAGGAGGTGGTGCGGGTCTGGTTCTGCAACCGGCGGCAGAAGGAGAAGCGCATGACCCCTCCGGGCGAGCAGCCGCAGCACGACGTGTACTCGCACGGCGTGAAAACGGACACGGCCTGCCACGACCTCTGACCGCGGGCTCGGCCCCGGGACTGCCCGGCCGCGGCACTGCCCGCCCGCACTATGGGCTTTAACTTATGGTTTCGGGAGACGCGGCGAGGGGTCCCCGCCCGCCGCCGCCTCGGCAATATTTTTTTTTTCCTCTCTCCGACCTGGTCACACACGGTGTTTACTCGCAGACAAGGTTTGTTTTCGGTCTCCGCTAGGATGAAGGAAAAAAAAAAAAAAAAGACACACAAAAAAAAAAACCCTCACCAACCCCACCGCAAAACAAAACCCAAACAAAAAGGAAGGAAAAAAAAGAAACCGAGAAAAAGAAAAAAAAAAGGGAAAACCCACGGAAAAATAGAAAATGAAAAAAAAAAAGAGAACGAAAAACCCGACAGAAAAGGAAAGACAGATGTGTGCCTATGAATAACCTTCCAGCGCCTTGGTTATATCAGCTGTATTTCAGGTGAATCTGTTTTACAATAGACTAGTTTTGCATTTTTAAAGACTTATATAGCGTTTTTAAATGTCTGAGGTGTTTTACTACAAACTGTACACAATATTTGTGACCTAATTTGTATCGAATTGAGCAGTCCAAACGTTCCTCCCTTCCCCAAGCGCCGGCAATGTCACCGAGCGGGGCCGGGGCAGGGCGGCCGCGGCCCTTCCTCACCCCCCCGGAGGAGATGGGGCTCCCTCCGCGCCCGCGGAGCCCCGCACCGATGTGAAGAACGGGCTTATTTGTTGCAGCTTTTTTTCTTCCTTTTCAAGAACTTCCCAACACCGTAAAACGGTCGGGTCACAAGCCTGACCTCCCCCCCTCCCTTCTTCTCGCAAGGAAAAACAATAATTATATATATAAATATATTAAATAATTATTTCTAGGAGATTTACCCGAAATTAAGCATCACAACCAAACCCGTGGCATTTGCCAGTCTTTTTTCTTTCCGAAGATGAGTTGGGCTTTTTAATCAGCGCCAGACTGAGAGGTCTGTAGTAAAACACCTTTATCCTTCTGCGCTTTCGCTTCGGAAATCGGTTTCTCTGTATTTTGTTTCGATAGTGAAGAGGAATGAGGTGTCGGGGGGAGGGAGGAAGGGAGGGAGGGAAGAGGACAGAAAACGCCCGCATTTGGTTCACGCTGAGCTTCTTTCCGCGTCGCAGGGAGATGCTGGATTTGTGAAAAGCTTTTCTAGGGGGGAGGGCAGGGAGGGGGGGGGAGAAGAAAAAAAAATAATCATAATAATCACCGACAAAACAAAACAGGGAGGAAAAAAAAAACCCCAACAAAAAAAACAAACCCTCTACCACCAAAACAAATCCCCTAAAATGCAAACGCCGTTTTTCGGGCGCAGGGAAGTGCTGAGCTGCACCCGCCCCCTCTCCCCCTGTCCCTCCCAGCCCGGGGCTGCGCTGTCCCCAAGGGCGGGGGGCGCGGTGGCCGCGCACCCACCCGCGAGGGGTCCGTGCGAGTGTGTGTGAGTGTCTGCCTGTCTGTCCGTGTGTGAGTGAGTGTCTACGTCTGTCTGTCCGTGTGTGTGTGTGTGCTCCCCCCGAGCCCCGCACCCCCGGGGCCGCCGGGCAGGGCCGGGCTCCCCCCCCCGCTCCCGGGGCTGCACCCGCGGCCCCCTGAGGGCCGGGCCGGTCCCCGCTCCGCAGCTCCCGCACAGCATCCCCCCCCTCCTTTCCTCTCCCTCTCCCCCCTCACCCTTCCCCTCCTCCAGATTCTTTCCTTTCGACATTTATATTTTTCAAGTATTTTTCAGTAAGCGCTAAAAAAAAAAAAAAAAGGAAATAGGAAAAAAAAAAGAAATTAAGAGAAAAATAAAAAAAAATAACTCGACACTGAGGACCTGCCTATTTCTGCCAACTTTATAACTGTACAGTTTTGTATATTAAACGTTTTTTGGAAGTTATTAATTTAAAGAAAGATCATTTAGTTTATTCATTTAGTAACTGATGTATAATAAACGCTATTTTCATTAAAGGTTGCTTTTTTCAACTATTTTATCCAAAATTGCCTATTGCAGTTGCCAACAATTATTTATTTTCAATAAATTCCGCATTATGTTTAAAAAAAAAAAGAAAGAAAAACGTTTCAGAGAGAAACAACAAAAAAAAAAAGAAGCCTAAATGGGTGTCGGATAAAAATAATAACGAAACACACGAGTGGCTGTAACGTTTGGTTGTCGACCAGTTTTAGTCAAGGGGTTTATATTGACGCAATATTTTATTGTTGTAAAAGGAAAAAAAAAATTAAAAAAAAAACCAAAAGGTTTAAATAAACATTTTTACGAAAGAAAAACAAAATAGCTGGAAACCTGCGGGTGCGTGGTTTGTGCGCGGGCCGGGCCGGGCTGCGGGGGCTCCTCCGGCCCCTCAGCCCCGGGCACGGCCGGGGGGCTCCAGGGGCCGGTCCGGGCAGTGCCGCTGGCACCTGCCGCGGCTGTGGGGTGGGAAAAAAGCGCTTTTGGGGCGGTGAAAGGATCCGTGCGGCTTTGGCGGGGCAGGGCAGCGTGTGTCCACCGGCGGAGCCGCTGCGGTGCGTGTGTATCGATATCGGTGCCGTCCCCGCGCTGCCCCCGCGGCGGGTCCCGGCCCCGGGCAGCGGCGGCGAGCGGGGCACCGGGCACCGGGCAAGTTTCTTTTGTTCCGCCCGTCCCCCCGCCCACCGTGGCCGGGCCGCGGCCGCCGGCAGCGGAGGGGCCGCGGCGCCGAGCCCCGTCCCCGCCCCGGGCCGCTCCCCCGGCGGGGAGGGCAGTGAGCGGAGGAACAATAACCCTTAATCACATCCACCGGGGAAACGGGGAAACCCCGGCAGCCGGGGGTGCAGGGGGAGGCAGGGAAACAGCAAAAACTTCAAGGGATCGCCGGCGAAACGGGCTTTTATTTTATTTTTTTTCTTTTCTTCTCCCCCTTTCTGAAGCCGAACCTCGGAGAAAACAATACCCAACCCTTCTGCCAGCAGTGTAGGGGGGAAAAAATTACCTTTAGGAATCCTGAGGAGCGGCCCGAGCAGGGAGCGAGCTCCGGTCTTCAATAAGCGGCAGCAGCAGCACGCGAGTGGACAGGCGCCTTCCCACTGCACTGCCAGCACACCACCCCTCCTGCACCTGGGAGCGAGAGGGATTTGGGATGTGAACAGTGGGCCATGCATTGTTCCTGAACCATAAAACTGATTTATTTCATTGCTAAATCTCTGTGAGCTGCAGCACCGCGGCCTTGGGGGCAGCGGGCCGGCGGCCGCCCCTGTGCTGGCCAGCGGGGCCCGGGTGGCTCCGCTGAGGGACCGCGACCTCCAGCTCTCTCTCCTGAAGGATTACAGCAGCAGCAGAAGGAAATATAAGCCCCAAAAGGCCGATTTTTCAGTCAGCTTCAGGAACAGGATGAATGTGGCGTGGGGACCAAAGCAGGAGTAAAGAGCCGTGGTTTGTAAACAGCCCCAGCTGAGGAGATGGAGAAGGTCCGGGTTAAAGCCAGCCCAGGCTAAAGCCAGCCCTGCGAGCTCACGGTGCCTCTGGGCCCAGGGAGGCAAAGCTCCTCAAGGCAGCCTTGGTTTGGAGGAGGGACAGAAGGCGTTTCACTGAAATTAGCCCGTTTTAGAGCCCTTTGGCTGCTCTGTAAATACAACCACAGCGAGGGCTGGGTTATGTCTTATTTTTAAACAAATTAGGTTGAGACAAAAGGGATGCAATGAAAGACGAAATCAAGTAAGTTTATAAACAGAAGCACTTCAAAGGCTGCTGGAAAGCTGGAGAAAATAGGAGAATTTCGTCTAAAGAAAAGAAAATCTCTGCTGGTTATTGCCCATCGATTTCAGTGTTCCTGTGAGCAAAAGGAAACTCTTTTGTGCCACCTAATGTTAAGTACAGATCACTGTTGTCTTCTTCGCTGCCCATCATCCATGGTGAGCATGAGAAGCTCTTGGGGTGCTGAGCCCATCAAGGTGGAGCTCAGCATCCCAAAGTCCCACCAAACCAAGGGCAGGGAGAGAGAAACTTCAGCTTCACAGTTATCTTCTGAATTTAGGGAGTTTTTTTTTTTAAAAAAAGAACTCAGGAGGGGGTGGAGAGAAGCACGGGGTAGAATCATAAGAATTGAGAGACTCCAAATTTGGGCTTTGTTATAAAAAAGTAGCTGCAGAACGAGCACATCCCGGGTTTATGTAAGCTGCCCACCCCCAGGCTCCATCTCAGCAGCCTCTGGGCTTGGGGGAGCTTCTCCCTCTGCTCTCTTCAAGAACCCAAGTGGCCTGGCCTTTGCACACCCGTGTCTCCCAGCTGGAAGAATTTTGGTGTGTACTTAGCAGCCATTCACATTAATTTAGTATGTAAATATCTCACACAATCTTTTAAAGAAAGGGCTGAAAGCAAGTGTTTCTCTGATGACAATAAATTGCACCGTTTTCGTGATTTTAATGGTGAGTGTTAAATGTCTTTAGCAATTTTTGGGGCTGAATCTTCCATGCTTTCTATATTATACTGAAAAAAAAAACTAACCAGAGGCTACCTTTGAGTTAAGTTTTCAATATTTGTAAGCTGTGCTCTTTAAAGATGGCCAGGACATGGGAGAGGGTTCTCTTGAAAGCAAAAGATTACAAGAAGTAAGCAGAGATGTCGTTTCACTTTAGGTTGGTCACTATAGATCATTCAAACTATGGACCAGTCAATCCATACCTAGGCTACATTTGACCAAGATGTTTTTAAAATCTCTCAAAATGAAATATTTCAAGGGGTTTTTTTTCTGTACTTTTAGGTGTTGATTCCATAGGTTCAGGCAGAAAAGATAAAAGCAACCTTGGGCTGCGTCCATGTACCAAAGCCACCACTGAATTTAGGGCAGATCCACATGTGGATGGAGGCACATTTAAAACCTCAGTCCTTCCCCCAGGAGCATGTGGGGCTGGGGGTGGGTGCCCTGATCCCAAACCCAGACAAAATTAATTGTTTACTCACCAGAGCAATCAGTGAGCTCACCATGCAAAGGGAGTTATTAATTAATCTTTGCACAACTGAATTCCAGCGTTCCATCCTAGGAAAAAATGGGTAGACAATATTTCAGGCAGGTGACCAATCTGCTCAATATCCCCCCCAAAATACCCACAGACATCAGGGCCTACATTTGTACTCAGTTTCCCCTTTTTCCAGCATCCTGTAACCAATAGACTGGAAAGGCTCCACAGCAATTACATATTTAGGATATGTGATAGCTGCAGTTAAGATCTTTATGACTGATTGCAGGATAAAATTTACTTCAAATGTGCAAGAGCCCATTTTTAAACCTCAGTCTTTCAGCTGCTTTGCATTAGAGATATTCCAAAGAATCAAAAGCAATTAGAGCATACGAAGTCTAAATGGTAAATAATTTCCAAATCAAAACCTTTATTAAAGCAATAAGCATCTATTTTTGTTAACACTGTAAGAGATGGAAAGGACCAAAGTAAAGAACTTTTGGTTTTATGTCGTGGAAAGAAAGCCAGACTTCTATGCTGAAGAGCAGTATAGGAAATCTCACCCCAAGTGGGTTTTGGGTTAAGTTTGAAAGACTTGGGAAAGCAGAACAAGCAAAAGGATTTAAAACTCCCATTTTGGTGGTGGGATGGGAGTGGGGATGGTTTGCACATGCCTGAGATGGGATCTGTGGGTGGATCCGTGGCTCCCGATTCCCAGCGAGTGCCTCGGCGGCTTGCAAATATTTGTAGAATCACGTCCTTAATTAGAGTGGTAAAACAGTATTAAATCTTGGGATGGGAGAGAAAGAGGAGAGCGAGGAAGAGCTGTCAGTGGCGAGAGCCTGTCAACAAGAAGTTAAAAAGGCAGTGGTAAATCTCATTTCTGGGAGCTCAGGGTTTGCAGAGCCATCG